GAAAGTGTCTGGTGTTTACAAATGAGGAAGAAGATATTATTATGTATTCAGTATCGTTGTTATGTACTTTTTAAAATTTCTTTTGTATATACACGTTTCAACCATTTATAATATAATAGATTCAGGGGAAATATCATAATTCTAAAAGAAACCCAAAAGAACGTCATTTTTCACATCCCATAATTCAACTTGAAGGCACCGGGCGTACCCTGGTCGCTGGCCGGAAAATTGTCTAAAAGTGACGTATGCTTCTGACACGCCCAAACCGGAAAAAACTCATTAATATTAAAACTTCTATTACCAAGCTCCTGATCCAAGAAGTGAACACAAGTTCAAATTTTGAAACACAAAAGCCACGCTGTTTCCGAACCCTTTGTATAAAAGGGAAAGCTGTTCTTTCAGCCAATTTTTTTTCTTTTTGTAAGTTTTAGATGGGATTTTTCCTCTTTCTCTCCTCTTCATACCATACGCATTGTTCCAAATCAAATTTCCACAGTCATAATAGAATTCGACGTTTGTATATTGACTGGGTAACAGCTAATGGATAAACCGGATGGCCACTTGCTGGAAGAATGGTTCTGCAGTCAACTACGGTCTTTCTAAATCCAATTCTAAATCCCTTGTGATCTGGACTGTATTCCTTGCCAGAAGATCCAGAACCTTCCAGCTTTTAAGATTAAAAGGCGTATGGGTTACTTGGTCAGTAGAGCGCTTCCTTATGCAAATGCACGCAAGTCCCCCCACGGGTGAGACTGATATGATTTGCGAAACTATTTTTTTTCTTGGTTTTTTTTGTTTTGGCTTTGGTTAGTTTTTGTTTCGGGGAGGGGAGGAGATGGGTGAGCCTAAAAATGACAGGAAACTAGTCCATTTATGTGTATGTGCAGAAGTGGGAAAGAACTGAAACAGTAAGACAGAGACACAAAGAGCGAGACAGAGACAGATAGAGACAGAGTGAGCAAGAGAAAGAGAGAGAAAAAGAGAGAAAGAGAAAGAGAGAGAGAGGGGAGAGAGAGAGAAGAGAGACAGAAAGAGAGACGGAGACAGAGAGAGAGAGAGAGAGAGAGAGAGAGAGAGAGAGAGAGAGAGAGAGAGAAACAGACAGACAGACAGACAGATAGAGAGACAGAGAGAGTCCGAAGACCAAAATGGAAAATAGAGAAAATAGGGTGTAAGGGCGATGAAGGCGGGGTCGACTAGACACATAACATGAAGAACAGAGCAAATGGCAATATTGTCACCATCAGCACCACTTTGTCATATGAGACACAAGGAAGAAAATCGATTCTCCAGAAAGAACACTGAAGCACCAGTGTATTACAATATTGATGCCCCAATGTCTTTACTATTATTTGTCTCCCCTTTCTTCCTTCCCTTTTGCCTCTGATTCTGATTTCGAAACCAATGCTCCAAATTTTCTAGTATTTCCCCCCATCTACTTCGTGAAGTATTTCCTGTCCTCGTGTTATCATCCCACTAAAGAGCAGAGCAGTCTGAAATACCGTCTTGCAATTAAGAGAGGATTTTACTCAAGTTAGACAGCTTCTAAGTGTTATATAAATTTTAATTTATTTATGAACGTCACCTTATTTAAACATCTTAAAAATCCTACGAACACAATGTTGCGAGATAAATTCTCTACCATCTTTTAAAACAAATCCATTTGAGATAGGACAAAGCCATTTTGAACGACGTCATGCACATAGTTCCTCAACCTAAGGATCGCGCTGATCAGTATTTTGTACCAGTAACTTTGCGAATAATATTGAAATATTGACCATATTTAGATTTGATTTTTAAAAAACGTATTCTACAGCTGGTTTCGTGTCTAGACAACGCCATAAATATGCAGTATTGATTTCCAGCTCTCAACATTATTTATTATTCTGTTTCCAAAATTCTCCCCGTCTGTGCGCCCACTGGCAGGCGACCCAATCATGACTTTCAAATTTATGACGTTCATGATACCGACACGCTGCTCCCAAACTAGTTTTCCACCCTTCCTTCTTTTTAGTCTACTTCTTGCCACTCGCCTCTTGCACCCTTCTGTGATCAGTCTCTGAATCATTAGTCTACTCTTACCACTTTTTCTTCTTTCCAAGCAATATTCCTCTTTCTTTCCTTTCATTTTTTTAGACTAAAATTTTGACTACTCACTGCCCCCCACCCACACACACACA